AAAGTAAAGCTATGGTGGGCTCCCTGATTCAATTATAGTAAGAATCATATGGGGAGTTAAATTGAAATTAGTGAGTCTTCCTATTTTAAAGCAAAATACGATGCATTTTTTACCCTGCTTATTTCCAGGGTTACACAAATATATGATATGTGGATTGGATCCCTTAGGAGTTTGGTACTAAGAATAGTAGCTGGCTCTTTGCCTATCTGTGCTGCCATTACCAGTGGCCCTGAGAATTGGCAGGGGTCCTGGACATATCATACACAGACATCAATTGTAATGTCTTAAAGAAAAAAAGGAAAGCCCAGGATTTGATTCATAAAATTGTACAAAAGTACTCCCTTTAGAAAATGAAGCAGTAATCTTCTTTTGCCTTAGTACATTCAGTATCCAGTATAAAATGTGTGTTGGCAAAGATTTCTATGGAGGATAAATAGAATGCTTCTATTTTTATTACAGCCCCAGCCTCACCTTTAATTGAGTCCGTATGTCCAAGTATGCCATATTGTATTTATAGCCATCTAACTGTACATGTGAAGGACGGAGGCCTCCCGCATCAAGTTATGCTTTACTCCTGCCTCTGCAAATCCATGTGTTCTAAGTTACAGTACTGCCTTCCCTGTGTTGTTTGAAAGTCAGCTATTTAAAAATGTAATGCAAATGGAAAGTAAGAACCAAGATGGGGGCTGTTAGGGTGCAGGGAATCTGGGTTCTGAGAGTGAAAAGTTATCGAGGAACGGCTAACAGGACTACAATCTCTTCCTCTTCAGGTGCTTTGTGCACTTTTGTATTTTCCAGTGGTGTGTGAACAGGCATCTTCTTTTTCCATACCATCTTACCCATTGCTTCCCATGAAAGTGTTTATTTCTGAAACCACAGAGGCGTCAAGTACCATGCTATTCTCTTATCATCTTATCCCAAATGCCAAAGCCATGGCCATTTAGAGTTTCTCAAAAGGATCTAAATGTTCTTGTTTACATTGGCCCAGTTGTTATTGACCTAAGCCTCCAGAGAAGTTCAAACACCAAAGCACTAGAAGAAATACCCCAGGGCTATGCTGGACACTTCGACTGCAGTCTGTGTTGTCCTCCTTTTTTCTCAACACACAGTCCACTGGTGACTTTCACAGGAACTGTTTGAGAAGAGCAAAATGTCAAAAGCATTCGTGTGACCTCAAGAGGAAAGTGGATGGGAAGAACCTGGTTCCTTCAAAGGATTTTTTGTTTTTTTTTCTAAAAGGAACCAAGCACTGTGAGTGTAACTGGGGCAGAAGTGAAAACAAATGGAAATCTCTTTCTCCAATTTGGAGTTAGCACAACAAACTTGCATGCTGAGGGGAATTGCCTTAGTTAGTGTTTCTGTTGCTGCAGTGAAACACCATGGACCACATACCAAGTTGGGGAGGAAAGGGTTTATTTGGTTCATACTTCCACACTGTAGTCTGTCACCTAAGGAAGACAAGGCAGGAACTCAAAACTGGGCAGGAACCTGGAGGCAGGAGCTGATGCAGAGGCCATGGAGGTGCTGCTTACTGCATGGGCTGCTTACTGGCTTGCTCAGTCTGTTCTCTTTTAGAACCCAGGATCACCAGCCCAGGGATGGCACCATACACAATGGGCTGGGGCATCATTAATTTAAAAAAAAAAAAATGTTCTACAGCTGGATCTTATGGAAGCATATGATCCTTTCCCTCCCCTCTAATGACTCGCTTGTGTCAAGTTGACATAAAACTAGCCAGAACAGGAATGATCCCAGGGAGGACTAAACCTTGACAGTTCAGTAGGGCCAGTGTGGCTGCCAAAGGGATGGCTGTCAATACCACAGCAGGGGTGAGGCCTTCCAGGCTGGTCTCAGCAGGGCAGGATGTTGATGCATCCTAACAGGAAGGAAGGCATAGGTAGATACTCGATGTTAAGGGAGCTTACAGTGTAAGTTTTGTTATGTTTTATTTGTATGAAGGGGCCAAATGAGAGTGGACAGACATGCTGGAGGTTTGAAAAGAGAAGAAAGGGTGTGAAATGGTTGTCTAGGAAAATGGAAGGATGAATGAATTCAGATACTTCAATGGATTGAGGTCATGTTTAAAATTCACAGTCATTAATTTAATTGAGAACAGTACAGAAAGGGATGACGTCGTGACCTTGACCATACTCTGAGAAGGCCATTTCTGTCTGTATCTCTCTGCTTTACAAAGCTATTGTGAGGATTCAGGGCACCATTATTAGGAAACTCAGCTTTGAATTACTTAGCACTTTTCTGTGGCAAAAAGGTGTTCAGCTTTGTCTAAGACAGCTCCAGTGTCTCCTAATACAGTGTCTGGCTTGTGCCACTGACTTACTTAATAACTAATCTAAGCTCATGACCAAACTTCTTTTTGCTTTTCCTCCTCAGTCTGTAACATGGTGGTGATATTTAAGGTGCAACAAATTTTTTTGTAAATTAATGTACTGCTTAATAAATCCAGGATGTTCGTAAGATAGTATTTCAGCCCTCTCTGCTAAGCCCTGGAAAGTCAGGTCAGAGCCTCCACTTAAACCCTAAATCCTGGTGACAGAGGAACTGCTTGCTCCTCCTGTAGGTTTTGAAAAAAGGGGGACCGATAAGCATGCTAGCTAGTTTTATGTTAACTTGACACAGGCTAGAGTCTTCTGAAAAGAGGGAACCTCAATTGAGAAAACGTCTCCATAAGATCTAGCTGGAGGGCATCTTCTTGATTAATGATGGATAGAGGAGGGCCTAGCCCCATAGTGGATAATGCCGTCCTTCTGCTGGTGGTCCTGAGTTCTATAAGAAAGTAGGCTGAGCAAGCCATGAGGAAGGAGCAAGCCAGTAAGCAGTGCCACACCACAGCATTGGTGTCAGCTCCTGCCTCCAGTTTCCTGTCCACTGTGAGTTCCTGCCCTGGCTTCCTTCAGTGCTGAACAGTGATGTGGAAGTGTAAGCCAAATAAAGCCTTTCCTCCAAATAAAGCCTTTCCTCCAAATAAAGCCTTTCCCCCCCAAGTTGCTTTGGTCATGGTGTTTCATCACAGCAAGAGTAACTCTTACTAGACAGTAAGTATCACCATATAGTAGCCACCCAGATTGTGTCCTTTTATCCCCATATCTACTTTTTGAGATTTATTATTAGAATTTGAGACTCAAGGTTATTGAACTATCCATCTAATGATCAGATTTCATACCATGTCTACCTAAAATCCCACGTTATTTTTTATTTTTACTTTTCCACATACAGAAATGGCCTTGATTGAATATAGCTCTAGAAGCTGTGGAACTTTATGTATTATTTTCTTATATTCCAGATCCATATTCTTGCAAGTGTAATCTCGGTAATCTAAGATTTTAACTAGCATTGCCCAATAACAACTTAACCTTGTTTGTTGGAAGTCTCATGATGGAGTAGTATACAAGAAGACATCAAATGACCAGGGATGATAGAAAGATTTAGGAATGGGCCGTACACTGACTGAAAATCAGCACTTAGCTACAAATGTACTTCCACATACCTTTTGGGGGAAGATGGTGGATACAAGATAAAATTAATTTATGTGGCCATGGGAACTGCAGAACCACCAGGCCTGTGTGTTCTTTGCTGCAGGCACAGAGTGTGCACTATGAGCTGCGGCACATAAACTCCTCTCAGGGAAAAAAAAAAATCACCGCTCTGCTAGATTTTGATTTTTGAGTAACAATTGCCTACCTGATAGAGAAAGTGATAAGAAAAGTGTATTTATTTTCTTCCAGGAGCTAAAAGCTGATCATACTTCTAAAATTTGTAGAGATTGTCCAAGAAACTGTGTAAAATCCTCATCCATCACTGGAAGCCCCTGGTCAGGAAATGACAGTGCAGTAAATATCTTCAGCAGCCACCTTTTTAATGTACAAGCTGTTTTCGGTTGGAATTTTCAGCGCTCACATAAAACACACTGTCATGAGTGACTGCTTGTGCTCCAAAGTCATTACTATTGGGATAATGGAACATCTCTCCGCGAATAACCAAAAAACTTTAAATGTCATGTCAAGTTTGCTGGAGCCATTTTCAAACCCTGTTCAAGGTTACATGAATATTGAGGCTATCTGCTTTTTAAAAGTATGAGAGAGTCACTCATAAGGTTGTACAGTGTGAGAGTCAGTTAATTAGATGAAATTTTAGGTCTCTGAAAAAATTAATCAGCCAGCACCATTTAACCACTTCCTATTATGGAATCAAGATCGTAACCACTTGCCAGTATGTATGTGTGATGGGTGCATGTATATATAAGTAGATGTAGATATACCACTCAATTTTGTTATGACAAAATTATGTAATTGTGGTTTGCTAGAAAATACAATCTGCCTGACAACTTTATTATTTCTTTTAAGGGATGTTTTTTAACTTTTCAACTTCTTAGGATAATCTTCCTTACTTTTGTTCAAAAGGAAAATCTTAGTCTAATTCTTCCTCTTCCGTTGGGTCATAATCTGTGCAGACTGTTTACTTACCCGGTGTGTTTATTGAACACTTAGTTTACCCAGGGCTATTATAGATACTGAAACTACACAGTTTAAAGTAAAGTTCCTTCTCTGTGGACCATACATTCTAGTGAAAAGACACCCAGTGGACAAGTAAACAGACATATGGTACATGTGCTTGCTATGATGCTAGAAGGGAAAAGATGAGGGGAAGGAACACGGGGATGGGGAGGATCAAGATAAGGCCCATATGAAATGGTTAGAGGAGGCTTCTCCATTTCATTTGTGTTTGACCCAAATCCTGAATGAAGCATAAGACAAAACTCTGATAATGTCCTGCACACAGGTATTTCAGCATAAAAGAAGAAAATAAGCAATTGTCTTCTATAATTTAATTGATTCTTAAACTATACATGTCTTTCTTCTGACTACTTTTAGTCTCTCCAAGAGGATTTATTTATTGAGAATTATTAAATCTATGTTTTATAACATACCTGGACCTTGGTTTCCACACTGACAAGTTTCATGTTTCTTTTTTTCTTACTGTAGAAAACCAGAAAGTGCAGTTGACAGAAGGGTCACGTCCACACCACAGTATCAATGGCAACTCCACCAGGACTCCAGTCGCCAAGGAGCTTAATTATAATCTAGACACTCATAAGTCTACAGGGAGGATCAAGGCAGTTGAGAAGGAAGCCTGTAATACAGAAAGCAACAGAAAAAAGGAAATGGAACTTCTTGGCTCTGTTTCTAAAAGCGAATCCGTCCCTGAAGTTGAAGCCCTGCTGGCAAGATTACGAGCTTTATAAATTAAACTGGTTAAAAAAATGATTAAGCCAAGCACAAAGCCATGCTTTCAGCTGTAACACTTGAAAAGTTGCTTTTATGTGACTTTATATAGTTTTAAATTATGATATATATTAGAGGAATAAAGCTAAATACATGATTGCAATGCTTTTCTATGTACTTGAAGTTTTGGCTTATTCAAGATTGTAATGGGCTTTAATGCTTTTTTTGTGTCCTGATACTTACCTATTCTGTATTTGCTGGTTAAATTATACAATTGCTTTAGAGAGCAAGGAGGCAGCCATGTGTTCAACAGTATGTCTTTAAGACAATGACATCCTTCTAAGCCTTAATGTTTACCATTTCAACATTAATGTAAGATCATTAAGGTGAAGACTTGGTGTCTGTCCATATATATTCCATATTTGCTATCTGTATAGCCCAAATGTTTTCAGTATAGCATCAAAAACATGTAACTGTGTTATCAAGTGTAGTGACCAGTACACTCATTATCATCAGTGTTGGTTCATAATAACTCAACACTGGAAGGCATCTGAGCACATTTCCAAAAAGGGTACAGTAGAAATATATGCACTTTCTTTGCAAAATGCACGTACCTTTTGCAAAGTAGAAATATAAAGTTGGAATGTACGCAGTATCACAGTACTACCCCAAACTCTTGGTCTTAGCCAAGAGAATACTTTTACCCTCGCTAATTATGGCTCTGGAATAAAATTACCATTCTGAAATTTCCCAAGAAATAAATTTTTATTTTGAATAATCTCAGGATTTCTTTAAGTTGACAATCAATAATTGCAACAATAATCTGAGTGTTTCAAGGAAAGTTTCCATATGCAAATGTTTGGATTGTACCTCATTGTCGTTGTTCCTTTGTTAATTCCTTATAACAGAAAATAAACTTGCTGCTTGCACTAAAAAAAAATATGTCTGTCTTCTCTTGCACATATTCTGTGGATGTGATGGAGGCAGACTCTGGTCTAACATCTCTTGTGCTTTATTATTTATAATGAGTAAGTGCTCTTTAACTTCCAGGTAAAGGGCAGCTATATGGAACTATTCTGGTGTGGTCTACTGCATTTGATGTCCTTATTTAAATTGCCACCTCCTTTCAGCTCCAAGTTAATAAAATAAATTAGTACTATGAGCCACGCTCTGCTCATAGACATCAAAGAAGCATTATCCTTAGCATGTGGAAAATAATTTGGTCCTATGGTAATCAGTGAGCATTCTACCCGCCACTTGCAATTCTTGTTTTCTTTTTTTTTTTTCCTTTTATGCAAACACAAGAGCATTTATTTCTCAAGAGAAGAATTCCTGCATGCAGGGGTCAGCTACACAACAAAATGGTGACAATCCCCAGAGAAGCACACAAGCTCCTTTTATAGACAACCAGGAGGGGATTAGGTCATCCTAAATATGATTGGCCAAGCAAGCAGCAGCCACACTAATATGTTTCTGATTGGCTGGGGCTGGAAGTGCTGAATCATGCCTGGGTATGCAATATCTCCCTCCCCTGCCTTATCAGAAGCCGAAACTGAAACAGAAATTGAGACCAAAACAGAAACTGAAAGCCAGGCCTAGTTGAGGCTGGGGCTGGGAGAAGCCCATAATGGTGCTACCCTGGCCTCTCAGGTCAGCTATTGAAAAGTTGAACTTTATTTCACCCTATAGGTAAAATGAAGTGAGTCTGAAGTTAAAATGGCAGTACACAGACCAACGTGCTTTTGCCTGCTCCCTTCATATGTACCCCTACAGTGCCAATTCACCCTGGTTAACTTTTTTTTGGGGGGTGGGGGGGGCGCCAGAGAGATGGCTCAGAGGTTAAGAGCACTGGCTATTCTTCCAGAGGTCCTGAGTTCAATTCCCAGCAACCAGATGATGGTTCACTTCACAACCATCTGTAATGAAATCTGGCGCCCTCTTCTGGCATGCAGGGATGCAGACAGAACACTGTATGCATAATAAATAAATAAATAAATAAATAAATAAATAAATAAATAAATAAATAAATAAATATTAAAAAATAGTCTTGTTTTCTTGAAAAAAAATCTTAACAGTCAGGAAAAGGGAATTTAAGCAGATGAATGGCAGCAAAGCAGAATTGTTTTGATTAGGAAAAAAAATCAAATGAAGTTATTGTATCTTCTTTGATGTGATTTTGGCAAGACTTGAATTTTCAGACAGGGAAATGAAGGCAGATAGCCTGGGCACGCACGTACAGGTAAGTACTGGGTACTTGAGCAGTGACAAGTGGCAAGCAAGCTGGTAAGGAAAAGGAAGTGAAGATCTCAGAACTCCCAAGGAGAAAGGAAGGCAGAGAAAGGTGGCAGTGGAGCAGGCTAGCCCCAGAGCATGCCTGTAAGAGGAACAGACAGTCTGGAAACAAAAGACCAGGCTCCCGAGACAGGCAGAGCAGCAGCGATTCCTGAGCCTGGCAGTACAGGCCCAGCATGCTCCCTCTCTCTACCTCTCCCTCTCTCTACCTCTCCCTCTCTCTACCTCCCCCTCTCTCTACTTCCCCCTCTCTCTACCTCTCCCTCTCTCCACCTCCCATCCCCTTACCCCTGGATGACAGGAGATGGTTCTGAACACACCAGAGTGATGGGATGGAAAACACAGAGATTGAACGCCTGCTCAAGGATTCACTTTCTATTGGAGGGCCTGCCTTTATGTGCCACTTAACTCAGGTTTGTGGGGATGATTAGGGTTTTAAAATCCATAATACTCCTTTAGCCAAACTGTGCGTGAAAACTTTAGCAGCGACCTTTAAATACAGATACCGTGGTTTTGTTTCTAAGCATAATCTGTTCACTTGAATTAGCAGTAATGACAGTTAATATTTGATGCCAACTTAAGGATTCCCCAGATATCTGGTAACATATCATTTCTGAGTAGGTCTATAAGAGTCCTTCTGGAAAAGGTTAGCCTTGATATCAACTGAATAAAATATTGCTCTTCCCAGTGTGATGGACATCATCCGATCTTTTCGTGGCACAAACAATAAAACAAAAAACAAACTCCATTTTCTCTGGCTCTCAAACATCAGCTCTTCTGTGCTTAGACCCTTGAACTTGGACTACAACTATACCCCATTTTCCCATGCCAGTTCACACATAATAGGATCCCCATAATCATCCAGTCCCACTCATTATAAACAGACAAATGTACACACACACACACACAGATACATCCTCATTTCTGCTTCCCAACAGAATCATAAATAATAGAACACATAACTGGCATCTGATAAAGCTCAATACCCTTAACAATAATGTTCTGCCCAGGTTAGTGATAAGCCTAGACAGATTATCCTACACTTTCACACAGCAGTGTAATGAATTCTACTAGAACACAGACAATCAAGCAATTGTTGATTTGTCCAAAAGCAATCACTTACTGCTAACAAGTCTGAAACACTCAGGTTATAAAAGAATCCCAGCTGGGCAGTGGTGGCAAATGCCTTTAATCCCAGCACTCAGAGGCAGAGGCGGGGGGATTTCTGAGTTTGAGGCCAGTGTGGACACACTTGTATATTTGAACAAAATATCTCAAGCTACCTAGTGTTCAACAGGTACTAGTTAGCCTTTGAAAAGGGTTAAGCCCTGACGTTTGTGACTCGCACAGAACTGAAGGTCATTGTGTTCAAGTGAAATGGGCCAGGCGAAGAAAGAAAGGTACCACATGCTCTCACATGGAAACGGAAAACAAGGATTTCAGAGAAGCTGAGAGACTAGCGGTTGCCAGAGGCGAGAAAGATTAGAGAGAAGGAGGGGATGGTTGGAGGTTGATTAATAGGTAACAAGTTATAGTTAGACGGGGGCAAATCATCCTGGTGTCATATCCACAATCGTGCAATTACTGGCACTGGTGATGTTCTATGTGGGTTTTAGAAACAAGAGTTTTGAATGTTTTCAACAGGAATGACAGATATTTCCAGAGATAATCAATACCATATTTCCCATTGCATTCATGTACTAAGATGAATGTACATGGTAAGCACATATGACTGTCATGTCAATTTAAGAACATCTGGTACTATGTGAGAAAATGGACATTTCAGTAATTTAACATAACTAAAAAAAATCAAATTTTCCTATCAAGTTGCTCCAAATCCTTTTAGTTACAAGATACATCAACTCAAAAGCAGATTTCAAAATGACTTACTGATTTTTTTTTTTTTCCTGAGTAACTTGTTTTCATTTTGAAATATCCAGTGTGGATCTGAGTTTACTAATCAACCAAATTATTTTAGCTGGTGTACACAGCTGTTATATCCATCATCTCAAGTTCCCCCATATGCATAGACATGTGTGTACTAGAGGCATATTTGATGGTTGGTGCTGCAGCAAGCTTTTCTTCACCTTGCGTTGCTTCTGGAATGTCCTGGGTTCTAATATGTGAACTACTAACTTGGCAGATTCAAAATAAGTAGTATTCACTTTCTTTTCTTTTCATATTAATTATTTAAAGTTTTATGGTCCAGAATTATAGCTGGCAGTTACCCAGTACTCATTTTCGTCTGGCGAATTGTTAAATGGTAGCTATTACGTGTTCTTGCCAGGCAGGAGTGTTCTTAAAATACATCCTAGGGCCAAATGGCTCAAACGTTTTGTTCGAAGAGCCACTGTTCCGCAAAACGGGTGGTGTTGCCAAAGACCCATGGAGCTTGGAGGGCCCTGCAAGAAGAAATCCAGCTTCCTCCACAAATTGAAAACGACAGACCCCCACCCCCACAAAAGCTTGTTATTGCTAAGCAGACCTTGGACCATTATGGTGGGTATGAGGAGACTGTTAACCGTGGAGGTTGGGGAGCTGAAGTGGAATGAAAAGTCACAATGTAACTATAATTTAACTTTCGTGCCTCTTTTTCTCTATTCAGCTAATTCTAGTTTTAGTGACATGTTTTACTTTATTAGCCTTCCTCTGGGCATCTTCAAGAAGCAAGAACTTAAATCTTCATTTCCTTAAAAAAAAAAAAACCTAAAAATGATAGACACCCCAAGCAATGAACAAGGTGTTTTGAAGACTGAGAAGATGGCTCGGCAGGTAAAGGTGATTGCCACCAGACCTGACAAACTGGAGTTCTATGCTCAGAACACACAGTGTGGACTGAGTTACCCTCCAACCTTGACATGCATACCATAGCATATGTTCACTCACCCACTGTCTGAGTTAGGATTGCTATGATGAGACATGATGGCCATGGCAACTCTTATAAAAGGAAGCATTTAATTGGGACTTGCTTACAGTTTCAGAGGTTTGGTCCATTATCAGCATGGTGATATGAAGGCAGACACACCTGGTGCTGGAGAGGTAGCTGCATCCAGGTCTGGATCTGAAGGCAACAGGAAGTGAAAGCCACTGGCCTGGCTTGGGCTTTTGAAACTTCAAAGCCCACCCCCAGTGACACACTTCCTCCAACAAGGCCACACTTCCTCCTCCTTTTAAATAGGGCCTCTCCCTGGTGAGCAAGCATTCAAACATACGAGCCTATGGAGGCCATTCTTATTCAAACCACCACACCTACACAAATGTGATATTGAAAGAGTATTTTGCAAAGTCCCAGATACTGCCTCTTTCAATTAATATTGCCAACATTCTCCATATTCCCACAGATCTACATTAATATAGATGTCTCATTTGAAAGGCCTTTCTGAATGAGGATTGGAAAGCAAATCAGATTAGCTCCTCAGGGCAGGTTATCCCACATCCTCTCCACCAGTCTTTGAACGTATTTTGGTAAGTATTATGTTACTTAGATTTTTTTTTTCGTGACAGTACTTAAAGGTTGAGAGTTTGCACTTTTCTCTTGGCATTTTTATTCAGTGTTATATTTAAACCTATTTCTGAAAACTTCTCTTTTCTCCTCATTTTCTAGGTATGAGTTGCTAAAATGAATGTTAAAGACGACTCTCCGGTGAC